GGTGCAAAGAGCGAGGTCCAGGTCTGCAGGAAGTCACTTCCACAATCGGCTCTCATTGGTTCCTAAAAATCAAAGCAGCATGGTTTCCAGGAAGTCTGCCTGTTTATTGTTTACTCAAATAAATAAAGTGTGACGCGAAGGTGAGGCCAGTCAATAATCGATCAATACCAACCAAGCCGAGATGACTCACGCATCGGGTTTTTCTTTCTTTCACAGAAAAAGTTAACAAACGTCAAATCAATCAGCACACACAGCAGTGGGCGTGTCAGTCGATGGCCGCCGGCACTGGGAAGACTTTATTCAGCTTCACTGTTTGTGATGATGCGTCTTCTTCAGTCAGTGACATCAGAGAAGTCAGGGGTCACACACACACACACACACACACACACACACACACCGTGTTTCCATATCTTTGTGGGGACATCTAATTGACATAATGCTTTCCCCAACCATCAAAATGAGTGCCTAATCCTAACCCTGACACTAAACCCACATTGTGAGTCTGAAACGTCTTCAAACTCGTAAGAATTGGGACTTTGTCCCCAGAGGGGCTGTTGGTCCCCATGAGCACAGTAAACTTTCAAGTTTTGGTCCCCACAGAGATATGTAAACAAGGTCACACACACACACGCCTAAAAGGTCTGCTGCAGTCTTTCACACATGGCTCAGATAAATGCCAGACCTCTAAAGGGACGTTACAGTGTGAGCAGAAATGTCAGCCGATGGCATTCAGCACGTCACTTATAACCCTCAACGTAAGAACACACGCTTCTCTAAGATCTTTTTTTATATTTAAGAATTTTCCTCTTTAAGTCAATTAATAGAGAAACAAATGGGGGAAAAAGAAGTAAAGTATAAGTTTCAAAAAGCTCATTTTACATCGATAGTAATAGTTCTATATTCTGATGCTTTAAATGAATATTAAAATTGTGCAGCACCATCAAAGTTTGCCTTGAACCGAGAGCTGCAGACGGCGTGCAGCTCTGCATGTTCCTGTGGCTGCAGCTCAGCTACACACTGACCTTTACGCAGACCAGTGTCATTTCCACCATCTTTACCTTTAGTAGCCATTACTTTCATTTCATGTCACAGATCAGCTCAAAGACTGTGAGAAGAACTTGGGGGGGTAAGAAAAAGGTGGAGCTCATAGAACTAATTAGCGCCTGCAGCAGAGAGAGGAGAGAGAGCACCGCACAAGCAAAGTAAAACAAAGACACTCAGAGCTTGGGCGGCTCGGAGGTCGTTATCAAGATACATCAAATTAAACGTGTTTGTGATATCATAAAACAACTCATCATTCATTAAAATAACCAAAAAGCAACTCAAAGGTTCGACAGCGTCTAACGTGTCAGGCCTAACGTGCAGGATGGAAGCAGCAGAGACGGACCTCGCATGTTTATTCTACTCAGAGGCAGCAGCAGAGTTAGCCAGCATGGCAATTAGATATTTGAACCATCAAATGTTTTGTAATTGTGTTGCAGTCACTGGAGTGCTTTTGGATCATTTCTCCACCCACAAACGTCTGCCCCTAATAGCCAGTGGCAGAGCTACTTCCTTCCAAACTACAGCTGATAGCTGGAATTAACAAGAGCTTCTGAGGAAGTCGTGTGATTCTTTCTGCATGTATCTAAAAGTTCGATCAAAGAGCTCCACTTTTGCAGCTCTCTCATCCTGATAGTCAGCAGTGTCAGCGGGCTTCGCAGTCTGTGGGAGAATCTCAGTGGGTGGGTTTTACATTTGGTCTAAACACACCACAGGACCAGTCCTCTGGTGTCTACATGCAGATCAAATGCAAGCAGGGGCACCGGCCTCAAGACGTGCAGGGTAATTAAAGTAATCTAAAGGTTTCTCTTTGCACTCGTGTGCACACCGGCAATGTTGAGCTGAGGTCTGGAAAAAAGCCCACGAGCCTGTTTGTTTGAGGACTTTGCGATCCTTGTTTTTATCTCTGTGCTCACCTGACGTCTGTTCTGTGTGCAGGAGTACAAGAGGAAGCAGATCGAGGAGCAGCGGCAGGCCGAGCGGCTGCAGAGGCAGCTGCAGCAGGAGCGGGCGTACCTGGTGTCGCTGCAGCAGCAGCAGGAGCCGGCGCGGCCGCCGCAGGACAAGAAGCAGCTGTACCACTACAAGGATCAGGCGCCCAGCAGCAACGACAAGCCCACCTGGGCCAAAGAGGTAGCCTGCAG